GGTTTTATTTTTGGTTTTTAATTTTTAAGAGACTCAACCGAAACCGAATCAAAATATATTCGATTAATACCAAAACCGAAAAAATAAAACCGAAAACCGTTGAAACCGAACCGAATTCATTTTTTCGGTTCGGTTTTCGGGTAAAGAATCGGTTCGGTTGAAAAATGCCCAGCCCTACCAATAAGCCACTTGATGCTGGACGTAAAACATAAAATTTTAATTATGGTACAGGGCTGTGGATGTACGGTAATCAATCAGCTACATTTACTGTAATATTTAATAATAGGTTAAATGCCAATTGGAGTTCTTTGAATTTAGGGTATTGCACAATTTTGGTTTATCAATATTTTTATACATTTTTCTAGTCTTTAAATTATAAAAAATATATTTTTTTAATCTTTCTATTAGTTAGTTAAATTTTTCTATATATTTACATTCTTAATTCATCAATTTTAAAATTTTCCATGATTTCAGTCCCTCAATTTAAAAGTTTATAAATTAAAAATATACATATATAGATGTACTAAATGAATTAATCAGTAAAAAAACTAAAAAAATATATTTTTCATAGGTAAGGAACCAAAAATCGTATGAACAAGTTGAAAAACTAAAATTGTGCAAAAAGCCCAAAGTTGAGGACCAAAATCTGCATTTCTCCTTAATAATAAATAAAATACAATATGATTTTTAAAAAAATATTTTTGCTAGCGTTTAAATTTTCAGTCTCAAAAGATTGAAACCGAAGTCTATTCATCTATTAATGTAGGATATCCAATTTAAGACGTTGTGGTTGAACTATACTCATTGTTGGACAAACTTTAGCAAAACAAAATAAAGCCGATTACAGAAGATGCTACTGTTCATTGCTGAACATGTTGAGAAGCTATGGGATAGTTGGAATATCAGAGGACTTACCATTCTAAGCCTCTTGCTACAGTCTTTCCTAATTCTGTTTGCACCATTAAGAAGGCGAAGAAGTGAGAAATGGATCATCATGATTCCACTCTGGATAGCGTACCTGTTTGCGGATTGGGTGGCCACATTTCCTATTGCGATGCGTGCTGAACGCAGTGACATCCTGGCCTTTTGGGCGCCCTTTCTTTTGTTGCATCTTGGTGGCCCTGACACTATTACTTCCTTCTCTCTGGAGGACAATGAATTCTGGATTAGGCACTTGCTTGGGCTCATATTACAAGTTTGTTCGACTATCTATGTTATCCTTCAGTCACCCCCACATAACAAACTTTGGCTTCCAACTCTCCTAGTTTTAATTGCAGGGATAATCAAATATGCTGAGCGCAACCGAGCCTTTTATCTCGCAAGCTTTGACCATCTTGGGAATAATTGGGAATCTCTATCAAGTGTTGTCCCTTATGAACATCTTGCAATGTCTCCCATTCCAGTACAATTTGAACAAGCTAATCGGTCACGGTTTATAGAGGTTTGGCGAAGACATGACCCATGGTCGATAATTCTTGCGGCAGCATGCACGATTGGCGCTACCAAGAGCTCGATTGTAGGTCCTCCCATGACTAAAGAAGAACAATATTGTTTTAGTCATTTAATGGAAAATAGAGATTCACATGAGATGCTTCGAACCATAGAGATCCAATTAAGCCTCTTGTATGAGCTTCTTCATACCAAGTTGCCCATAGTTGATTCCAAGATTGGTTATATTTGCCGCACAGTTAACTTTGGTTGCATCTTGGGAGCCCTGGTGTCATTCTCAATATTACTTAAGAAGTACTACCATAATAAGTTTGGGGAGTTTGACATTTGCCTAACATATGGGTTGCTGATCGGGGCGTTGGCATTGGATTTGATATCCATCTGTTTACTTCTGTCTTCTGATTGGATTATTTGTAGGCAGTACTCCAACAAAAAGAATTATGATGAATTCATTGATAGGCGCAGATGGTCTAACTCAGTTCCCCAATTAAATATTTTTGCTTGTCGTTTTCCAAATAAAGATGGAGATTATCCAAACAAATTGGTTGATTTTCTTGGCACAAGGTTTGAAACCATAAGAAGAAGAATCCGATGCATGTCTTTCAAAAATTTTGTAGAAGAACAAGCTTGGAAGCTCATTTTTACAATGCCAAAAGAAAAGGGTATTGGCGTGGCTGGCACGGAAATCTTTGGTCCATCTAGAATTCTCACTGGTCATATTACCGCCTTCTCTTGGACACTCAACAAGTTTGAACACATGGATAGCCTCCTGATATGGCACATAGCCACTGAAATATGCTACCAAAAAGAATGTTCTGATGATAGCTCTAGCAGTTCTACCTCTACATCTGCCAATTGTTTTGATCACCGAAAAATATGCAAGTTGATTTCAGATTATATGTTTTACCTTTTGGTAATGGAGCCCACTACGGTAGCCACCTCGCCTAACAATTTGAAGATAGTTTTTGAAGTCACAGACCAATATCAAAAATGGAAGTGGCATTTCAGCGAAGATGAAAAGGGATCCAAAGTACCATTCATTAAAGATCTAGAAGACAACAAACACATTTTTGGTAATATAGATGAAGATCTGTTGAAGGAAGATGTAGACAAGTTACCCCCCATTCTAAAGGCAGAGATAGCTAGATTTTCGAGAATAGCTGTTGCACGTTTTCTTGCCAAGGGGCTTCTCAATCAGCCCGGTGGTTGTCCGTGGGAATTAATGGGCAGATTTTGGGTAGAAATACTATGCTATGCTGCTATGAATTGCCAACCCATTGTGCATGCCAGACAAGTAAGCAAAGGTGGACAACTTCTCACCTTGGTTTGGTTGTTGATTAATTACTTGGGATTAACTCCTCCTTCAATGGAACCAACCCCAGAACTTTTTTCACAGCCTTATATTGCATCGCTGAAGGACCAACTACGGAGTAGAAGACAGCAGGGGGAGCCAGAAAATTTTTGAAAAGAAAATTTTGGGGCGGCCTCTTCTATTCTTGTTTCTTCATAAGGAGGAGACCAGTCAAGAGGTGGAGATCACCTCAGCCACTTCATGAAATCATTTGTCAAGTTTAATTCCAGAGTGTTCCTTCTCTGCTTATATTTCATTTTGACTTCATGCTTAATTTGGAAATCTCATGTTAATTTATTTGTACTGATGCATTGTATTCTATTTATGATTGTGTTGTGTGTTGTTGTTTTGGAAGCATGTATTTTAGTTCAAGACAGTAATATATTACCATGCTATAGTGACCTACGGATTCCAGAACTAAGGGTGCCTATAGCTTTTATTTTTTATCTGTATGAAATAATTTTGTCGCCCATTATCCCATCGGCAAGTTGGTGGATGGGACCGTTAGTCCATAGGTAAGAAAGCAACCGTGTGCGCAACTCAGTTATATATATCTATTTTGGGTTGAATTTTCTGTAGAGAGTTGTAGACGACATGAGTTATTAAAAGTAAAAGTAGAAGTAAAAGTAAAAGAAAATTTTCTATCAAAAAAAAGAAAAAGAAAAAGAGTTTGGAAAATTTGAAATTGTCACTGCAATTAATAATAATTGTGATACATTTTAAATATTCATCACATATTGTCACTACTTCTATTAATGGTAGCTGAAAATAAGAGCTTAGTCACCAACAAATTAGTCACTGATCATATGGCTTTTTTGTAATGAATGCACGTAAAGCAGAGGGATAGAAAAAGAAAAAGGATTTTGTTCATCGATTCGCAAATGCCATTGGAAGAACAAGTTATCTGCTATTTCGAGACAAAGAAAGCTAACGAGGCAGCCAACTGGATCGCTAGCTCCAAGCGTAAAGGACGTGCACAGAGGACTGGGTCAGTACACAGCTTTCTCTCTGGTAGTTCTGTTGTCTTTTTTTTTTTTTTTTTTTTTTTTTTTTTATATATATATATAAAAAAAAACAAAGATAAATCAATTTTATTAATCTAGGGAGCTCAAGGATATTACGTCCTCCTACAAATTACACAATCCAAACCCTTGCCCGGTTCATTACGACAACACACCCCGCAGGGATTTAACATTGTTCACAGTACACTGGCCATCTTTGACACTGTATCTTGCATTAGAAATAGTGTGAATCACAATGTCATTCTCAACAATCAAAATCCATTTCTCCTAGTTAGAGCTTTTTTCAAAACGAATGTGTTTGAATACATTGAAAGCCTCCTGATGTGGCACATAGCCACTGAAATACGCTACCGAAAAGGAGGTCCAGATAACAGCCACAGTACTTCCACCTCTACATCTAGGAGTTTTGGTCACTGTGAAATATGCAAGTTGCTTTTGAAGATAGTATTTAACGGTGAAAAATTGGAACTGGCCACATGTCATTAGAGGTGAAAAGGGATCCAAAGAAACATTTGATAAAGATAAAGATTTGGACAAGCTATTGGTCAATGAAGAAGAAGACGTGGGAAAGCTGTTTGAATAAAATAAAGACAGATGTGGACAAGCTTTGGTAAGAGCAGGAGCCACAGATAAATGAGTTTTCTAGGGTAACTGCGGCATGTTATCTTGCCAAGGTGCTCCTTGATCAGCCCAGCAGTTGTTCGTGGGAATTAATGGGCAGATTTTGGGTAGAAATAGTATGCTATGCTGCTAATAATTGCACGACAAATAAGCAGAGGCTGACAACTTCTCACCTTGGTTTGGTTGTTGATAAATTACTTGGGATTAACTCCTCCAAAGGAATGGTATGACGTGTTAGAGCAGAAGGAACCCACTGATCAGAAGAAAGAGCTGAAGGAACTAGGCGTGTTAGAGCAGAAGGAACTCGCTGATAAGAAAAAAGAGCTAATGGAACCGGCTGATAAGAAAAAAGAGCTGAAGGAACCAGCTCAAGAGTTAGAGCGGAAGGAACCCACCGATCAGAAAAAGGAGCTGAAGGAAGCAGCTCATGAGTTAGAGTGGAAGGAACCTGCTGAGCAGAAAAAACAAGCAGAAGGAACCAGCTCACGAGTTGTAGATCACCTCAGCCACTTCATGAAATCATTTGTTAAGTTTAATTTTGGAGTGTTCTCTCTCTGTTAATTTATCTTTCATTTTGACTTCTTGCTTTGGAAATATCTTGTTAATTTATTAGTGCATTGTATTATATATGGTTGTGTTGTGTTGCTATTTCGAAACATGTATTCGAATTCAAGACAATAATATATCATCATGTGTGAATTCAGCACTGGGTCAGCATGCAACTTCCTCTTTGGTAGTAGCAGTACGGTAAATCTTAGCCATTAAGGCCTCTGTGTGCTATAATCAAGAGCCCTTAGCCCTTATACAAGATATTCCTAATTTATTAAATTCCTTTGCACTAAATGTAAGGTTGTAACTCCGTACTCTGATTCATGAAAGCTCCCTCATTTTAACCATGAACACCCGGACCATGGTTATGTCTACACAAAAAAGTTTTATGGCTAGGCAAAAATAATAGAAGTATATTTAGTTTGACTATTAAGAATGATTGATAATTATAAATATTAGTTCATAACATATTAAATTTTTAATATTTATTATTTAACTATTTAAAATTAGTCTACAAACTTATGTTTTAGTAGCTGTGGATTGATAAAATCAAACAAATTAAGCAGATTTACAATAGTTTGTGTGGCCATAACAAATCTTTGTGTGTCCATAACATGGCCCAAACACTTACTTTAAAATGTTGAAAGCACATACGAAACAATCAAACAGAAAAAAAAAAAAAAATTGTGAGTAGAATGAGATTGCTTTCTCACTTTTAATTCATGATCAGTAGCTGCATTTAAAAGTAGAAGTATATATGCAACTTAGATGAGATTGATTTATGGGAAAATTATCATACCATAAGGGAATTTTGATTACATAGAATATTATTGTATTAGCGAGATATTGGTGAAAACTAATTATCATACAAGCTAGGTTGAATATCATTATAAAACAAAATGCATTTTACTTTACAAGTAATCATTATTTTCATGAGATTTTTGTGATCTAGGGTGAATTTTTCATTCAATTCAGAAATTCTCCATCTGTGGTATGGTGAAATTAAAAACCAAGACTTCCAAATGTATAGTTTCACCTTTCTTTGAGATTAGCTTTTACAATTTTTCACAGCTTTTTAATAATCAAACACATGTTTTTGTAAAATTTTAATAAATTTGGTGATTAGAAAAGTGAAATAATGAGGGATGGAAACTGGAAACAGAAATTGGGTGAAAATATTAGTTGGCAGTGAGAAAAATAAGAAAAGTTGTGGTGCCATGTTGGTGGTATGAACCGCTGCATGCCCGTTTTGAACAAATGATACGTCGGAAGTGAGACAACCACTAGGGTCTCTCAGGTTCATCCAAGAAAATGTTTTATCATTGCTAACTAAGAAAAGAAAAGGTTCAATTTATGTTATGTTGTTCTTATTGTTAATTTGTCTCCAAATCTAGCTTCAATTGCATTTTTATTTTTAAAGATAATATCATGTTCAACTCTTTGCAATCTCATTTTTGTGATAAAATTTTGCATTTATAATTTGATTTAAAAAAAAAAATAACAAACCGTGGAATATTTACACAATTAAACCCAATGAAGGAGACAAGCAAAAATAAATTAATTATGGTTTTTTTTAATCTGTACTTTTAAAGAACACTTTTTCTTTATCATAAATAGATATAAAAAATGTAAAAACTAATATTAATTTTAGTATTAATATTAAGAAAATAAATTTAATTAAATAATTAATAAATTAAATGTCAATTTTTATTTTTTTAATACAAATATATTATAAAAAAATATTTATTACACCATTAAAAATATAAGTTTGACAAACTCATTAATTATTATCTACAATTATTTTTTGGTGGGATTGTTATGTATAATGATATTATAAAATAAGTGATAGAAGTTAGTTCATGCATTTTTAGCATGCACCAGAATCTAAGGCTAACCTTTTTACAAGCTCTGAATGTTAGTGCACATGTGGCTTACATTAATGCATATCTTATTTTTTTTCTTTTTATCAACAATGCACATCTTACTTATAATTCAAGAAAAATGACAAAGTGCACATCTTTAGCTTCTTCTTTTTTTTTTTTAATCGCAAATTTTATTTATAGAGACAAGGGGTAGTTCTACCCTTTCATACATACTACATTTAATGGTTTCCTCGCGCCACTGTCCAAGAAAGCACTATTAACTAGAGGGATTCTTTACTTCCTCCAATAATCTCATATGGTGCAACCTTTTATGTGACTCACATTGCATTTAATATTCTTCTCCTGCTCTTTACACTTTCACTTTGTCCAGCCAAAGGACAAAGCACCAACAACTGCAAATGTAGCTCCCACAATAAAGATATTTATGCTTTTATGCCTTTCTTTGCCGACAAAAGAAGCAAAGAACACATAATAGTATTATAGTCTCTCTTTACATCCTGCGTGCAATTTTTTTTCTTAATTCATTCTTCTGCTTCTGCCAATGGATGAGTTTTCTTTTAAGCTACATATATATATATATATATATATATAGGTCTGATTCTTTGCTCTTTTTGTTAAAATAATGTCCTTATATTTGGATCAAGGCATTTGAATTGGTACTGTCAATTTTAATATATGATTCTCTTACATTAGGTTCATCATTTAGAAGAAATTGAGATTTAAATACATATGATTGTGCTTGTTGGAGTTCTGTTTAGAAAAATAGGTAATTAAAATTATTACAAAAATAATATGCAACAAAATTATTATAATTTTTATTTTTTTTTATACGTCAAATAATAAATTATATAACAAAAGATAACTTTATTTTCTAAATCGTTCTTTATCTTGTGCAAGATTGAAACTTAAAATTTTTAATATGAAACTTAGTTCTTAATTACTAAAAAGTTCCATTTGGATTTTCATTGCCTTCTTATCTAGACTAGAAGCTGGAACTCAACCAAGAAAAACTTCAACCTCACTCAATAAATTCAAATAAGAAATTTTGTTGGAGGGAGCAAACTGTAGCACCAAAATCTGTAATATTTTTTTAATATTAAGTGTATTATAAAGTGAATTGAATTGAAAAATGTGTTAATCATTGTCTTTGTTATATAGTTATACGGGAGAGCAGGGTTCTTATAGGCTTTTTCCCTAAACAAGCAATTTTAATGACCTAGATGTAGGCATATTCATGTTAAGAACTCTCTTTTTCTTCTCCCCCAATTATAGCATTTATCATAGGTTTAAAAACAAAAAATCAAATATTTACTACCTCCCATTAATATCCTTTAATTGTGCTGGATTTACTTCTTACACAATCAGCATTAATTGTCCGTTGCCTGAATGACACTCATGGAACTTGCTACAGTTGTTACATATGGTGCAACCTTTATATGTGACTCAGATTGCAATTAATATTACTGAGAATATCAATTTAGTCGCTCAATTTTTATATTTTTACTAAATTCATTTTTTAATTTTAAAAAGTACCACAAATTAGTATTTTAACCCTTAATAATCTTCTTATGCTCTTTACACTTCCACTTTGTCCAGTCATACGACTAAATATCAACGGCATGTATCACTTACAATAAAGATATATATGCTTCTATGCCTTCCTTTGCCGGCCAAAGAAGCAAAGAATACATAATAGTAGTGTTTTGGTCTCTATATATATTCCTGCACGATTTCCTAGCTATATGATATCATATGACTAATTCTCTCCTGATCCTCTAGCAGCAAACTTTTTTCCTTAATTCATTCTTCTGCTTCTGCCAGTTGGTAAGTATTACTTGGCTACATATAGCTTTGATTCTTTGCTCTTTTTGTTAAAATATCTCGTTATATATGGATCAGTGCATTTTGGTACTGCTAATTTTTATAATTCTCTTAGATTAGGTTCATCAATTTGGAGGAAATTGAGGTTTAAATTGATATGATTGAGCTATTGTTGGAGTAATGGCCAACTTTTAATTAAAAAACTATTTTTCTTAACATAAATCCAACATCCACATAACTTAGGAAAATTGAGGTTTAAATAGATGGTATTGGTACTGTTAAAATATTAAAATGTTATATCTAACAAAATTATGTTAATTTTCTTAGCAGAATTCCATGTAAGTAACTGCGTGACACTACATAGGCATGACATAACACAAAAAAATTATATTTTATTGCATAATTGACCTCACATCCCTTACTTTCTTAATTTTCTTCTCATCTTAGACAATTGATAATGCTCTTTTCCAATTTTTCTATCACCATTTCTGGTTATTAAAATGTGATTTTTTAGAGGCACATGGGGCTTATAATATTGTGCTACCTATGCACCAACATATAAGAAATCTTGTTAGAAAAACTAACTAAACTTTTTAAATTAAAATAATAATTATTAATAATTAATATACCCAACATAAAATTTAACTAATTAAATTAATAGTGAAAAAATAATATGTAACAAAATTATATAACTCGAGATGGAATTTGACCCTACTCAATCGATTTGAATAAGAATATATGTTCAAGGCTCAAATTTGTACTTTAGGGTCTGATTTATTTTGTTTATAAAGAAAAGTTTTTAATCTACAATAATTATTTTTGTTACTAAATTTTCTGCCAGGAATTTTTTAGGAGGGAGAGAACTACAGTGCCGAAATTTGAATTCAAAAAGGTTGAGACCGGTTGATCGATTTCGAGGAAAAAGGTACAGTACTAAATGTTTTTAATTTTTTATTGTTGTTACCATATAAATATTTTGTATACTTTTGATTATATTAATCCTATTTCTATTTCATTAAGATTACATACTAGTATTTTTTAGTATAAATGTGTTTTTTTTATATTTTAAATATTAAAATTATTAAAATACTTTTAATAAAAGTGCTCTTCATATTTACTTATTTATAATATATTAATAATTTTAACACTCAAATTATATAAAAAAAAAATTATCCATACTAAAGAACACCATTATCTTAAGCTTATGTATATAGCAAAAATTTACTGCATGTTTTTTATGGTTTTTTTTTTCTTCACATCTTTATGCAATATATTGTCATTGCGCTGGGTTGTGTAATCTGCTGTTGGGAATTAAATTTCCCTCTTTAATTTTAATACCATTTATTAAGAATTTGAGTACCGTTAAGGTGAATTGATGGAAAAACCATCACTATAAAATTATACAAGTAAATTAAATAATAATAAATTAAAATAATAGAAAACAAGAATCCCAAATTTTGCCACGTTGTCCTTAATTTTAAAGAGCGGTGCTGCGAGCACTTGCCCATTGCATTCCCACCATCCGCCACCCTTTTTTTTTTTTTTTTTGAACAGCAAACATATTATTTATTAATAAAGGAAGTACAAGGTACTCTAAATTCATAAATATCAAAAGTTAACACAAGGTGTCGACACCCAAATGAAGTGTCGACACTATACCCGTTACGGGGGATTCTGCCATCTTTTGCATTTTCATCAAATCTCCCTGTTCAGATCAACAAAACATCGCCCCTCACACCCACTGACCCGCACGACATTGATCATGCATTGACTACAGCTGAAATCCACTATAATCAATAATTGCTCAATAAAGCCTTTATAAGCCCTCATTATGCAGCAATTCAAACATCAAAAACGAAAAAACATAGACAACCGCTACCCAATTTTGTCACATTGTCCTTAATTTTAAAGTGAAACCTACAAATTAAAATTAGTGGTTATCAAATTAAACTAAAAGTATTTTATAAAAATTAGGATTTTCTTTTTACTTTCAATAAAATAGAGAATTTTTAAATCTTTATTTCCACGTATCTTTTTCCTTCTTTCTTTTTACTCATTCAAAAGAAATGCTCATTGAGAAATCTACTATTCATTTAAAATCTTAAACAAATATTTAATGGATCCCTACTCTTAAATGTTCTACTCCATCTGCTGAAATTCTGTTAGTCCTAACAGAATTCCATGTAAATAACTACATAGTACTTAATGGTGTTCACTATGTGGTTTGGTTCGGATTTTATTATTTTTTAAATCAATCCAATTTAATCGGTTAATAAAATTTTAAAACCAATTCAATTTAAATCGAATCGGTGTGATTCGGTCAGATTGATCGGTTTTTAATATTATTAAATATATAAGATAATATAAAAATATTTTAACATCAAATAGAAAGTATAATTATAAAATAAATTAACATTCAAATCAGTAAAAACATAATAATAAGTAAAAATTATAAACAAATTCTTACACTCCTTTATATTTGTAAAAATTGAAAAGCTCCAAAAATTATTCTTGGTTACATCACTAGAGGCACTAAAAATAATAAAAAAATAACTTAAAATTTCTAGCACAACGTAAATAATTCTTGAAAATTAAAATTAATTTTTTTCCTAATGCACTAATAATTTAATCACATTTTCTAAAGCCTATTAAAAGGGAATAACATTTAACATGAATATTACTAAAATTGATTACAAACATTTGTAATCAAAATTTAAAACTTCTAAATCAAATATCCAAAAACAGTAGAATATTAAGACTAATTTTATTATATAGTTTTAAGACTTTTAGAATGATACTTATTTAAAATTTAATTAGGAGAATCATAAGATTATTTTAAAAATAAATTAAAAATTTAGGGTTCTAAGAGTAAAGGCGCAAACCAGTTATGAGATAATATAGTTACAAGTGAATTAAAAATTTAATAATAACTTAGGGAATATGAAAATGTTCTATTTTTATTTTTTTAATTAAGTTAATAGAGTTATAATCTTGTAAAATAAGAAAAAGAAAATTTAAAATACTACAAAAAATGTGTTATATTATTTAATTAAATTATCTTATAATCAGATTTTATTTTGTAATCGGACAATTCGGACGATTTAAAGGTAAAATCATGAAACAAACTAATTATATCGGTTTTAAAATTTTAGAATTCAAACCAATCTAATTTTATATTGGTTTGGATCGATTTTTAATTGGATTGGATCAGTTTAGGTCGGATCAATCGGATTGGATCGGATATGAACACCCTTAGCACTACATAGGTATCACATGATGCAAGAAAATTACATTTTAATGCATAACCAACCACATATCCCTTTCTTTTCTTTTCATCTTAGGCAATTGATAATGCCATTTTCCAAATTTTCTATTGCTATTTTTGATAGTTAAAATATAATTTTTCTAGTGCCATATGGGGTTACGTATGCACAAACTAGATCTGAAAAATGAATAAAACTTTCTACATTAAAGTGGCAATATATTAACAGACAAGATTATGGCAGACATCAAAATGTTATGAGCACATAAATTTTTAAATATTTTATTTTAAAATGATGATTTTGTTTGATTTAATTGTTAAAAAATAGTTGATAATTGTAATTGTTAGTTGATAGATAACATAACAAAATAGTTAATATTTATTATTTAACAAATTAAAATAAGTTTAAATACTAATATTTTCAAATACCATAACTAATTATTTACAAAGAGTATATGTATCAAAATTTGTGTGGCTCGAATAATACTAGTGTGTGGCTATAACCACAACTTAATTATATTAATAATTAATAGATCAATAATTAAATTTAGCTAACCAAATTAATGAAAAGATAATATGCAACGAAATTATTATATTTTCCATTGCCTTTTTCTCTAGTCTAGAGTAGAAAATGGAACTCACTTGTTTAAAAATAACAATAACTCAAGGCTTGACTTAACTCAGTATTTTTTTAAAACTTACTTTTATTTTCTCCATAAATAAAAATTAGTTTCTATTTGTAATAATTACTGTTACTAAACATTCTGCTAGGAATTTTGTTGGAGGAGCGTACTACGACGTTAAAATCTGAATCAAAGAAGGTTAGGGCTGATTGATTTTGTGGAAAAAGGTACTGCATTTAATTCACTTAAATGTTTTTAACTTTTTATCATTGTTACCATAGGAATATTTCGCATTGTTACTATATATATAGGAATGTTTGTACAATTCTGCACAGTTTGGATGGTACAAAATTAAGAGCCTATTTTTTACGGTAGTTAAAATTTAACAAATAACAGATAATGAATAATAAATAATGGATAGCGTATATTGATAATGGATAGCAGATATTGATAATGGATAGTAAGTGACGGTTAACGGATAATAAATAGTAGATAATAAAAAGTGTGTAACAAATAATAGATAATAGATTCGATAGATATAAGTGTTTGATTATATAATAGTTAGTGATTATTATTTAATATTAAATAATTAATAATGATATATTTAAAAACAATTAAGTGTATTTTTTTAAATATTTTTTATCTTTTATTATTAAAATTATTAATTTTATAAAAATAATAATAAGAAAATAAATAAATAAAATTAATTATAATAATGTAATTACACCCTCATTTTTATTTTTAACAAAGAAAAATTATGTTTTTGAAATAAAAATTAATCATTTTGTCTAATTAGTAAATTTTGTTTTTTAAGATAATATATTTTTTAATGATAAATTAATGTAAAAAATAGAAATATTATAATCACTTAATGTTATTAAAGGTAAAAAAACAAAATTGAAACTTATTACATAAATATTAATTAAAAATTGTGACAAAAAATTAAAAATTAAAATGGATAAATTTGTCAATAAAATTAAAAAATTCTAATCCACTAGTGGTTTAATACAAAAAGCTACTTATAAAAATTAAGCTAGTTTTGTCAATCCGCTAGCGATTTAAACCCTAACCACTATCTACTAATCCTAAATCATTAAATAAAAATTTTTACCAAACACCTTATATATAAGTTTACTAAACACCTATACTTAGCGATTTAGGCAAAACCGTTAACTACTACCCTAAAATCACTATATCAAACGAGGCTTAAACCTAAGAAAAGAAGGGTAGAATATAAGAGTTCCATTTCTCATTCAAGTCTGTGTTTATAGTTTGGTACAATTTAGAATGGTTTGAATCATACTCTCTTTATTTTTAATAGTTTTAATTCAATTTTTTTTAATTTTTTAGACAATAATTTTAGATGAAAATTTAACATGTTAAGCTTTATTACTAAGCTTTCTTTTTATGAAATTGGTATGAGTGGATAGATCACTTCATAGGCTTTCTTTTGATATATTACATGCTCTAAATGGTTTAGAAACGAGGAAGATATGAAGACTCAAAGATCTAAGGTTAGATGGGGTAATTGGGTTTGTTAAGGTTAAATGTCAAATTTTGTCCCCAGATGTTTAATTTTAAATAAATTTTGAACTTTTAATTTTAATTGGTACTGTCAAATTTTATATTTAATTCTTTCATATTAGGTTCATCACTTTAGAAGAAATTGAGGTTTAAATAGGTATAATTCTGCTTGTTGGAGTTATGTTTAGAAAAATAAGTAATTAAATTAGTGAAAAGTAATATGAAATAAAATTACTATATCTTTCATTGCCTTGCTTTTTTGTCATGTCAAAAATAGTTTTAAATCCCTTTTCATCTATTACAAAATTTGATTTTGAAAAATCTAACAAGAAGGCTCAAGTTTTTAATTAGTGAAATGGAAGTCACATTTGGACTTCCATTGCCCTTTTATCTAGATTAGAAATTCAGTTGAGGTCGACTTTGACCTCACTTGGTAAATTTGAACAAGAATATATGGTGAAAATGTAGAGGTAAAGATATAGATTTTGTCTTTTTTATTTAAAAATATACACTTTTAGATTTTTAAATTAAGTAGTAATTTTTTTTTTTCAAGTAAGGATATGAAATTTGTGTTTTCTTTTATTAAAGGATTCATTAGATGGCAATGATGATGTGGCAAATGACAATTTTAATCAAAATATTACCAAATTTATATCCATAAATAAAAAAAGTGAAAGTTTACTGTCTAATTTAAAAACTCAAAAAATTTATATTCCTTAAAAGAAAAAAATGATAAAATTTATACTTTTATCTAAACCTTTTTTTGAATATATGCTCTAAGCTTGACTGCCTTATTGGCTTGACTTTTCTTCAATCTATATATTCTCTTTGTTCCAAAATAATTATAGCTTTTTCACTATGAATTAGTTCTAAATTAATTATCATTTTTTTATTTCTCAAGGTAGACAAATATTTTTTTTCTTATTTTAATCTCATCATTATACATTCACTTTAATTAATTATCCAACCACAAAAAGCCTTTCTTTATTTTTTTTAAGAATATTATATATAAATACAGTTACTATCCTTAAATTATTAATTAATTGAAAAAAAAAAAGACTATTATTTTGGCATAGAGGGAGTATAAAGTTTAGTTTTATATTTGCAATAATAATAATTATTATTACTAAATATTTTGCCAGAAATTTTGTTGGAAGGAGCAAACTGGAGTGCCAAGATCTGAAAGAAAGTTAAGATAGATTGATTCCGAGAAAAAGGTACTACATGATTCACCAAAATACTTTTAATTTTTATTGTTCTTACTATATAAATATTTTGTGTAGTTTAGACTATATAGAATTACACAAAACAAAATCTAGGATGGGGAGGGTCCCTGAATACGAGGGCCTCCCCTGTCATCTAAGCGTTTTATATATATATATATATATATATAATGATTACTAAAATTTTAAAATTATAAATAATTACAAATTATAATACTTACAATCGAAGCATAACAATTTGATAATGACTATATCAATTTAAAAAATTAATCTGAAAAGTATAAAATTGGTTCTAAATGAACTGCTTTAACTTAAGTAGTAAGTAAGGGCACTTCTTAAGAACCTAAAAATAAAGAAAAGCCTATACGAGGAATTTTAAAATGTTTCGATATTTTCTTTCTTAAAATTATAAACTATCAAAAAAATTATGAAAATGATAAAGTAAAAGCCTTATAACTTTTAATATATTCATAACAATTCTAATATATGCACAATAATTGGGAAGAGAGAGATAGAAGAATTGAGGTAAAAATAGTATATAATAATAAATAAAGATTCAAGAAGTGATTAAAAAAAAATAATATTGAGGGAATAAGGATAAAGAGAGAAATATTAATAACAAACAAATTATTAATTTATAAAAAGAAAATGAGGGTAAATGTAGAGTAGGTAAATAAAAATAATAAAAAATATGAGATAAAAAACTAAAAGAAAGAGTTTCAAAAAAATTAATAAAGGGTTAAGTATAGATAAGTGAAAAAATAGCAAGAGTAAAAAGTTGGTGTAAAAAAAGAAATATATTTTGATATATAAAGATTTAAAAGTATAATTAAAAAGGTTTAATAGAAATGAGATGATAATGAGAGAAATAATAATAAATAAATAAATTATTAATATAGAGGGGAAAAAGTATGGCAAATTACTAATATATAAAAGTATTAATGAAATAATAAATTTACTTATTAGAGATATGATACTGTCAAAAAAAAATTTACCATGCATTCGCCAAGGAAACTTGCAAACGGAACGGTCGGAGTAGTATAACAGAAAAACGAGAAAACAGGGGAGAGGAGAGAGACCAAAGGAACCAGAAGCTGACAAATTAAATACCCAAAGAAAAAGGGAAAATGATATTTAATAATAAAACATACAATTTTAATTATAGTACAGGGTTGTAGCTGTACGGAACTCCTCAAACAACATTACTGAAATATTTTACTGCAATATAATTTTTAAATTTTTTTCTCTTAACATATAAATTTTCCAGTCTCAAAAAATTGAAACTGAAGTCTATGTTATCTGTTAATGTAGGACATCCAATTTAGGACGTTGTGGTTGAACTAGACTCATTGTGCATCCCTAAGTGTTTTGGTTAAAGTTGGACAACCTTGAGCAAAACAAAACAAAGCAGATTAAAGAAGATGCCACTGCTAATTATTGAACTCGTCGAGGAGCTATGGGATACTTGGAAAATCAAAGGATTCATTATTCTAAGTCTCTCGCTGCAGTCTTTCCTAACTCTGTTTGCACCATTAAGGAAGCGAGGAGGTGGGAAAGGGCACATCATGATTTCACTCTGGATAGCATACCTGCTTGCAGATTGGGTTGCTACATTTACCATTGGACTCATCTTGGATGCTAAACATAGTGACATTCTGGCCTTTTGGGTACCCTTTCTTTTGTTGCATCTTGGTGGTCCTGACACTATTACTTCCTTCTCTCTGGAGGACAATGAATCCTGGATTAGGCTCTACCTTTGGCTTACATTAAACATTGCTTTGACTAACTATGTTATCCTTCAGTCAATCCAACGTAACAAACTTTGGCTGCCAACTCTCCTAGTTTTAATTGCAGGGGTAATCAAATATGCTGAGCGCAACCGTGCCTTTTATCTTGCAAGCTTTGACCATTTTGGGAATAATTGGGTATATTCATCAGTTCGGGGATTGCCTCCCATTCCAGTACAATTTGAACAGGCTCATCATTCATGGTTTCAGAGGGTTCGGGTAAACCAGGACCTGTGGTCGATAATTCCTGCGGTAGCATGCACGTTTGGCTCTATCAAGAGCTTACTTGTAGGTCCTCCCATGACTAAAACAGAACAAACGAATGTTTGTTATTTAATGCGAGGAAGAGATTCACATGAGACGCTTCGAACCATAGAGATCCAATTAAGCCTCTTGTATGAGCTCCTTCATACCAAGTTGCCCGTAGTTGATTGCAAGATTGGTTATATTTGCCGCACGGTTAACTTTGGTTGCATCTTGGGAGCCTTGGTGTCATTCTCAATATTACATAAGAAGTACTACCATGATAAGTTTGGGGAGTTTGACATCTGCCTGACATATGGATTGCTGATCGGAACTTTGGCATTGGATTCGATATCTATCTGGTCATTCATGTGCTCTGATTGGATTACTGTTAGGCAGTACTCTGACAAAAAGAAATATGATAAATTCATTGATAGGCGCAGGTGGTCTAACTCAATTCCTCAATTAAATATTTTCGATTGTCGTTTCAAGAACAAAGATGGAGATTATCCAAACAAATTGGTTGATTTTCTTGGCACAAGGTTTGAAACCATAAGAAGAAGAATCCAAAGTCTGTCCTCCAGAGATTTTGTAGAAGAAAAAGCTTGGAAGTTCATTTTTACAATGCTGCAAGAAAAGGATATTGGCGAGGCTGGCAAGGAAATCTTTGGTCCATCTAGAATTCTCACTGGTCATATTACCAACTTCGCTTGGACCCTCGACAAGTTTGAGCACATGGAAAGCCTCCTGATATGGCACATAGCCACTGAAATATGCTATCGAAAGGAATGTCCAGATAACAGCTCCAGCAGTTCTACATCAACATCTAATGATTGTTTCGATCACCGAAAAATATGCAAGTTGATTTCAGATTATATGTTTAACCTTTTGGTAGTGGACCCTACCATGACAGCCACCTCGCCTAGCAATTTGAAGATAGTTTTTGAGGCCACAGATGAACCATGGAAGTGGCCAAGTTATTGGAGGAAGAGATCCAAAGAAACATCCATTAAAGACCTGCTGGATAAGCTATTGGAAGACGAAGCTAAAGAGGATTATGAAGATCTAGTTCTGTTGAAGAAAGAAGTGGACAAGTTAGAATCCGGTGAAAAGGAGAAAATAGCTGGCCTTCGGAGAATAACCGTTGCATGTTTTCTTGCCAAGGAGCTCCTCCAAAATGAGCCCGGTGGTTGTCCGTGGAACTTAATGAGCAGATTTTGGGTAGAAATATTATGCTATGCTGCTATTCATTGCCAACCCACTGTCCATGCACGACAAGTAAGCAGAGGTGGACAACTTCTCGCCTTGGTTTGGTTGTTGATCAATTACTTGGGATTAACTCCTCCTCCTCCAGTAAATCCGGCAGTGTAACTGTCGAATATTACGAAAGAGGAGATGATTAGACAGGTAGAGACAGCATTGCAAGGCCCTCCTTGGCCTCTTCTATCCTTGTTCTTTCAGAAGGAACTCGTTCACGAGTTGGAGATCATCTCAGCTACTTCATAAAATTGTCTGTCAAATATAATTTCAGAGTGGTCTTTTTCTTTGTTCTTTTTTTTTTATTATTTTGACTTCGTGTTTAATTTGGAAATTTCGTGTTTAATTTGGAAATTTCGTGTTCATTTATTCAGTACTGCATTGTATTTTATTTATAGTTATGTTGTGTGTTGCTGTTTGAAAACTTGTATTTGAATTTTAAACAATAATATATATATGTATATATATTACCATGTGTGATGTTATAGTAACCTATGGAGTTCAGGACAAAGGGTATCTATAGCTTTTATGTTTTATCTGTCAGAAATAATATTGGATTTGGCATGGAAAAATCGTACCGGTGATCTAGCAATGGTACGGTAAAATAAAAACGTCAATCGGTAGGTCCAAATGTAATTTGGCATTACCATTTTGGGCTGTCATTCGGCATTGGTATGGAGGCCCAATATTTGATTGACAGTTTGACTCAATCTTTCGTGTTGAACTCTACCAAGCGGATTATGGGCAGTGCGCTTCGTCGAAAGAGTAGAATATTTATCTGAGATCGAATTTTTAATTGTTAATATTTAATAAAAATTAATTTATTAATTATTATTTTTGTAAAAAAAAAAAAAAAAATCCTCCGTGTTTAATGATTCAGTCCTAAGTAAATCTCATCAATTATTTGATTACCTACACTTAATCTTCGAGCGATTGGTATTTTTACAGCTCATGAGTTGATCCATTTTTCTTTTTTTTTTATAATTTTTTTTTCAAAAAAAAAAAATTTACCGTTTGAGCCTCTAGTTTACTGCTGCACCTACCGTTCTACCAAATTTTACTCTTTTTTTTTTTAATGTTATTTTCCTATTTTTTA